GCGGGTGCCACCCAGGCCCACCGCCCGCGCCCCGATGAGTAACTCCCGGAACAACCGGGTGATGGTGGAAGGGGTCGGGGCTCGGGTAGTGCGCGGCCCGGACTGGAAGTGGGGCAAGCAGGACGGCGGCGAGGGCCATGTGGGCACGGTCCGCAGCTTCGAGAGCCCCGAGGAGGTGGTGGTGGTGTGGGACAACGGCACCGCCGCCAACTACCGCTGCTCCGGGGCCTACGACCTGCGCATCCTGGACAGCGCGCCCACCGGTAAGCGGCGCCCACCTGGCCCAGGCCTGCGGGTGTCGGTGGGGGTGGGGTGGGGTGGGGTGGTGGCTAGACGAGGTGTGGCCGGCCGCGGAGCCTCAGGTGCAACGTCTTGCCGGCCTCGCCCGGCGGGAGGACGCGGAAAGGAACAGAGCCAAAGGGAATTTGGGCTTCAAAACCTAGTCAACAAAAACTTGCAGAAAGACCTCTTTGAGGGAACTGTTGGCAGCACCACCGCCAGGCTGCTTTCAGGCCGAGGGTAGATGGGGGGTGGAACACAAAGCGCCAGCGAGACAACAGACACGGCCCCCGACCCCCCGGGAAGGGGGCCGGGGAGTCTAAAAAGCCATCGAAATTAATCAGCCACCAAGTGATAACTGTCTGCAGGGGAGGCTTGCCTTGCCATATGGTGCTCTGTTGGCCGCTTACAATGGCGAGAGGAGCCGTTGACATCTCAAGATTTGTTGAGTCTGGTGTTGTTTTGCATTTACCACAGTGACCTGGTGGAGTGCAGTAGCCCAATAGCACTTGGGACGCTGTGGGGTGATACTTCATCTGTACGATTTAAGTCTACATCTGTCTGTCCTAGGCGAACATTCCAAGCTGTTGAGCCATTTCTTTGTGTTACAGACTTTTTTAAGTCAAGTAGGTGGCATTTGATTTCTTTCTGTTAACCTTGTGTCATACTTAGAGGTTATGTCGGAGACTTGTCTATTCACGCAGCATTGAGTGTGCCTTCCTTGATTCATTAGACAGCTGGGCCCTGTTGGTGCGGGACAAAGATGAGGCTTTCTACTTCCGTGAAATTAGTCTTGGAAACTCAGGAAGCAGTGCTTTCTTAGCCTACAGGGTCGCTGTGAGTTGGAATCAACTTTGTAGCAGTGAGTTTGGTTTTGATTTGTTTTTGTTAGTGTTTCTTTTTTAAATCATTTTATTAGGGGCTTATACAACTCTTATCACAATCCATACATACATCAATTGTGTAAAGCGCATTTGTACATTCATTGCCCTCATCATTCTCAAAACATTTGCTCTCCACTTAAGCCCCCGGCATTAGGTCCTCATTTTTCCCCTCCCTCCCTTGTTAGTGTTTCTAAGATGATATATTCACATAATATAAGCCAAAGCATGTCTTCACCAAATCTTTTATTTTAGTGTGCTCTTTTGCACAGACTTTCAATCTTCTCTGCTTAATTAAAATCACATTTAAAATTTCTTTTCAGAATGTCCATATCAACAGGCTATAAGGAAGCATTACAATGAGTTTGACTAAGTTTAACAAATCTTGAAATGGTTATTGTTAATCACAACACATGGTGAAAGAAATTAATGCAAGCCAACCTAGTGTTTGAGCCATCATAAAATTGTGCTGCTTTTATTAGCTGCTTTTTAAACATTGAAAAGGTAGATGTGTGTGGCCAAATTGTGTTTATTTAAATGGTACGGCACAAAAGGGGGCAGCCATTGTTACCATTTTCTTGTGTAGTCTTGGAGTATTCTATATATTGCAAGCGTATAAGAGGAGTGTCAAAAATTTCTTAGAAAAACTCCCTTTTAACTGCATCTTTTTACAGTCTTGAAGCCTCTTTATGAATATACTGAAAATCTTCTCTTTGAACACAAATGGCAATAAACTATATTTACTTTTTCTGCTTGTTTCCTTTACTTGAAGGACCACTGTTCCATGTTAGCACATATAAGTCGACTTTCTTCTTTCTTGACTACATAGTATTCCAGTAATTGGATGCAGTGATTTAATTTAGTACTTTATTAATGGGGCTTTATGTTGTTTTATGTCTTGTTATTTATAGTGCTGTAGTGCATCTATCCATCTGCACAGATGTTCTTCAGAAGAAATGTTGATTGCTGCATCAAAGGGAGTACATAATTAAGATTTTGATATATGTTAACTAATTGCCCTCTAGAGAAATTTTACCGTCGTACACTCGTAGTAGCAGTATATGAGGCATGTTTGTTTCTGTAAACTCTCAAAATTTTGTTAGCATACTAGTTCAGGCACATGGCTTATAATTCATTAATATTTTCTTCAAACTGTTTAGTAATTGGTACTCATTGGCATTTTAATCTTGCAAGTTTTATTCAATATTATATGAATTCATTGACGGTTATATAACATTTTAAGAAATTTAACTTTATTTTGAAATAATTTCAGATCTACAGATAAGTAAACTCAGTAAAAAGGGTACATGACAGATGAGTATATTAACATCAATAGAAATCTATTAACTACTATGCAGACTAATAATACCCCAAAGCCCACTACCATCAAGTTGACTCCAACTCATAGCCACCCTATATAGGGTTTCTGAAGCTTTGTAAATCTTTACAAAAGCAGACCACTGAGGGGTTGGTGGGTTTGAACTATCAACCTTCTGGTTAGCAGTCCAATGTTTACTAGATAGCGCCACCAGGACTCTATTCAGATATAACCAGTGATCTTGCTAGTGCCCCTTTTTGGTCTCGGCCCCAAACCAGAGTTACATATTGCGTTTAATTTCCTTCTGTCTCAGGCAGTTCCTCAGTCAGTGTTTACCTATGATATTGAGTACTGCCCAGTGATTTTGTAGGATCCCCCAAATTGAGTTTTTATCAGTGTCGCCAAAAGTGGGTGAAATGATGGGGGCATAGTGGGCTCTGCAAAAGCAGATACCTATATTCAATTCTGTTTTATGGACTATAATACAAAAATGTTTACTTGCCAGGGGGATCCCGTACATTTTTTTTTTTTTTCTGAAAGGGAGCAGTAGTCTAAATACTTGGGAACCTGTGGTTTGGTTTATACAGTGTTGCCTTATGACTTTAAATTCAGATGGTATGTTTTTGGCAAGAATACCTTATGCCTTTCTTAGTTTATCCTATCAGAAAGTTATTATATCTATACAATGGGGCTTCAAAAAGTTTGTGGGAAAATGGAATGAAAAGATAATGAAATCTTTCCCTCTCCTCTAATAATACTAGCTTAACTTGGTTATTTACAAACACTTCATTGTGCTCAGGTGGAACCTGTACATGGACCAAGAGGCAATTGCTCAAACAGAACAAGGGAATACTGCATTGTTTAAAGTAAAAACAAGGTGTGCATCAGAGTTGTATCATTTCACCATATTTATTCAATCTATACTGAGAAAATCATCTAAGAAGCTGGACTACATGAAGAATTCAACTACGGAATGTGGGAGAGACTCCTTAACAACCTGTTATATGCAGATGACTTGTTGGGCTGCTAACAGCAAGATTGCAGTTCAAAACTAGCAGCTGCTCTGAAGGAGAAAGATGAGGTTTTTTACTCTAAAATAGAGTCGCAGTCTCAGAAACCCATGGGCTTTGATGTACCCTGTCCTTTGGTGTCAGTCACTGAGTCATCATCGACTCCATGGTTGATTTATTTTTTTCCATACCCAGATGACACAACTTTGCCAGCTGGAAATGAAGAGGACTTACACCACTTACTGATGAAGATCAAAGACTGCCGCCTTTAGTATGGATTACACACACACCTCACTCACTAAAAGGAAACAAAAGTCCCCACAACTGGGCTGATACTGAGCAACATCATAATGAATGGAGATAAAAAAATTGAAGTTGTCAAGGCTTTCATTTTATTTAGTTCTGCAATGAATGCCCATGGAAGAAGCAATCAAGAAATCAAAGGAAGTTATTCCATTGGACAATCAGAGCAAAAATGGCACTTCGAAGACTTAGGCAGATCTGGCACAGCCGTATTACGTTTAGTTGTCACTATGTATGTGAAAGCTGGACCATAAATGAGGAAAACGAAGATTTTATGCATTTGAACTTGTGGTATTAAAGAATAGAAAATATAATTTGCCAAAAAAGCGAACAAGTTTGTCTTGAAGAGAGTATATTGCTCCTTAGAAGTAAGGATGGCAGAGACTTGGTTTCACGTACTTTGTACATATTATGAGGGACCAGGCCCTGGAGAAAGGACATCATGTTTAGTAAAGTAGAGGGTCAGCAAGAAAGAGGAAGCCCCTCAATGATATGGATTGTCCTTGAACGTAGCAATGATTGTGAAGATGGCACAGTATGGGACAGTGTTCAGTTATGTTGTACATAGGGTCACTAGGAATTGGAACCAATTCAACAGTACCTAGCAACACCCACCAACAGTTTTATGTCATTAGAGCAATGTTAGTATGAAAAGACACCATATATTATTATGGAAATACTTTTGACATAGTAAAACCTTTGAAGGGGATATTGAGGACTTCCCCAAAGATTTAAAGACCACACTTTGGAATTATGCCCTAGTGCGAATATCTCGTTGAGCACAAAGCAGTCTTATGGAAGTATGTTTAAAGTAATATTGTACATAAAAGCTAAACTGACAAAATGCCCTTAAATGCCCATTGGTACTGTATAGTGGACTACTGTACAGAAAATGAATGTTCAATAAGTTGAAAAGAAAACCTGTGTGTCCAAATGTAAAAGAATATTGTTTTACATTGTTTATTACATGTTTACCTTGGCATTGTTGCCATTTGCATTGGATAGGATAATTCTTTGCTGTGGGAGACTCTCATACCTAGAGTGAAAGGGCTGGGCCAAGTATGCTGGACCATAGATGTATTTTCATTATCTTTGAAGACCTGCTACATTGTTTTCCCACAATGGCTGAATCATTTTGCAGTGCCACCAGGTTTGGATAAGGTCCAATCTGGCCACATTCTCACCAACAGCTGTTATTTTTGAATGAGAAATGTCTCACTTTTTGTTCAGGTATATGAAAATGCCTCAAAAAGTTCACGGGAAAATGGAATTAAAAAAGATTGAAAAGATAGTTGGAATTTCCCCCCTAAACTTTTAGAACCCCTTTATATTTGACCAATGTGTAGTTTGGTCACTGAAAGATTGTGGAAATTCATTTAATTATTTTGGAGTTGATTTTATGAAGTCAGTAATCAATTGACCTTTTGTTATTTAGAAACTTTTTTGTAGGATTTGGTGAGAAACACGTTACTACTTTTGGTTAAAAAATTAAAAAATACCTATTGTGCTATCTTTTTATCAGAAAGAGTGGAGAAATAATTTGGACTTCATATTAAGGTTCTTTCTGCTCTCTTGGGAAAGGATAACAAAAGTTAGAGGTATAGATGATAATATTTGATTTGATTCAAAATTAGCTTCTGGTCACAGATGTCCAAGCTCTTTTATTGGCTGTTACAGTGTCCTCCACCTGTAGCAAAGAATATTTGGCAGGTTGTGTGTGCGGAGACTACTTAGAAGTTTGTATTCAGTTGAAGATTTTAAAGTGCTGACCCTGGAATAAAAAATGACAACTTTTCCTTTTCTAAGACTCATTCTATTTTTAATTTTCTAGAACCACAAGAGAAAAAGGTGGAACCTTAGGGAACAAACAGGACTTGGGAACAATGTTTAGGGACTAAGGTCCGCTTTGGAACTAATCTTGAGCTTTTAAACAGTGACATCTGCAAGGAAAACGTGATTTTCTTATTTTAAAGAATGCAAAATATATTTCCATTTGCTAAAATTTTCTTTCTTTTTTAATAATTGGGGGCTCTTACAGATCTTATCACAATCCATGTCTATGCATTGTAAAACTTTTTAATTATGAAATTTTATCTTGTTATTACTGTTGATTGTAGCTTAGTTGAATTAAGATCCTCAGGAATCAACCAATATATCAAAGAAGACATTCAGGCAGCTAGCTAACAAACACATGAAAAAATGCAAATCATGAAGAAAGTTGATGTTGCCTGACTATCAAAAGATATAGCATCTGGGGTCTTAAAGGCTTGAAGATAAACAAGGAGCCATCTATCTAGTTGAGAAGCAACAAAGCCCACATGGAAGAAGCACACCAGCCTGTGTGATTGCGAGGTGTCCATGGGATCAGGTATCAGGCATCAAAGAAAAAAGGCATATTGTGAATGAGGGAGAGTGCGGAGTGGGGACCCAAAGCTCATCTGTAGGCAACTGTACATCCCCTTACAGAAGGGTTGCGGGGAGGAGACAAGCCAGTCAGGGTGCAGTGTAGCAATGATGAAACATACAACTTTCCTCTAGTTCTTTAATGCTTCCTCTCCTCCCACTATCATCCCAATTCTACCTTAAATCTGGCTAGACCAGAGAATGTACACTGGTAAAGATAGGAACTGGAAACATAGGGAATCTGCGACAGAAAAACCCCTCAAGACCAACAATGAGAGTAGTGATACCAAGAGGGTGGAGGGAAGGTGGGGTAGAAAGGGGGAACTGATCACAAGGATCTATGTATAACCATCTCCTTGGGGGACAGACAACAGAAAAGTGGATGAAGCTAGATGTCCGACCATGTAAGACATGACAAAATAATATATAAATTATCAAGGGTTTTTTTTTTGGGGGGGTGGGTTAGGGTCGGAGGGGAAAAATGAGCTCAAGTAGAAAGCAAATGTTTTGAGAATGATGATGGCCACAAATGTACAAATGTGCTTGACACGATGAATGGATGGTGATAAGAGTTGTCCTGAGCCCCAATCAAATGATTAAAAAAAAAAAAGCAAAACTACAAAATAATGCAAATAAAACTACAAAAAACTTCTCACTTCTGCAATATTGGCTCTGATTGAAAAACAAACCAAAAAGAACAGCAAAGGCTGCCGAGGCTGTGTGGAGATTGGAACTCCTACACTGTTATTAGAACTTCAAAAATAGTGTAACCACTATGGAAAAGAGTAGGGCCCTTTTTTAACCAGAAATAGAAACACCATGTGATCCAACAATCTTACTGTTAGAGACTATATCCTAGAGAAACAATAGAAATAGACACATGCACACTCATGTTCATTGCAGCTTTATTCACAATAGCAAAAAGATGGCAGCGACTTAAATATCCACCAATAGATGAATAGCTAAACAAACTGGTACAATGGACTACTATGCAACCTTAATGAATAATGATAACTTTGCCAAACATGGATAAATCTGGAAATAGGCTGAGTGAAGTAGGCAATCACAAAAGGACAAATACTGTATGAGATCATTATTATAAAAGTCATGTATAGGTTACCAAACATTTTATTGTACTTTAGGTTAAAGTTTACATAACATTTTGTAAGCTTTCACCTAAAGCACAATAAAATGTTTAAAAATCAGGCGGCCCAAATAGGAGTGATCTCAAATGAGGACCTTTAAGATACAGGTTCTCATTCAGTAAGTCTGGGATTCAGCAGAGATTTTCTGATAAGCTCCCTGGTGGTGGTCCCTGGACACACTGAATGATAGGACACTAAGTGACTTGTGTAGGATCCCTGGTGGTGCTGTCTTGTAAGCTGTTAGCCACAAGGTCATAGGTTCAAACCCACTAACTGCTCCTTGGGAGAAAGATGAGGCCATCCGCTCCTATAAAGAACTACAGCTGTATCAGGTCACTATAAGTTAGAATCAAGTGAGTGGCTTGTTTACTTGAGATGCCCAGGTTCTCTGTGTTCTCCTTTTCGTCTCAGCAGATTTCAACACGCCTCTTGATTGTCAGTATCAAATGTCTTTAGTTTTAGAGTCCTTACTGGGCAGGGAGAAGACAGCTTACAACTGAAATAAATAACGTGTTATTTTCAGATAGACTGCTATTTTAATGCACTTTTGATTCTGTACTCTATAGCCTTACGTTACTGATTAGATAATGCTTTTTGGATGCCTCCTTGGGAGGCCACCTACCACGGGTGTCTTTGCCACCCTTTAATTGCTAGCCAGTGAATGCGTTGTGTTTTGTTAATCTTTTGCACTGTGTTATTAGTTTGAGGACAAGGTGTGTGTGTGTGTGTGTGTGTGTGTGTGTTATTCTTGTATCCCCATCTAGCAGTCTTAGATATGAATGATTATCTTCTTAATAGGATATAATGTTGCCCTTTTAAAAGAATTTTTGTCATAATTCCATCTGAGGTGAGATACTGTTCTAAGAGGAGATGAGGCTCAGAGACTGCAGCTTGTGATTGGCAGCTGATGGGATGAAGAGTTAGTTCATTGCTATTTCATCTATATAAATTTCACATGTATTTATACATGATTGTTTAGAAACAATCACTATTAACATGAAATTTAAGTAACCAACTTACACCTGATGTTTTGGTGGTACTACTTATGAGTCAAAATTGATGGAACCACACAGCACCTGCTGTAAATTGTTTTTTTTTTAAACCTCCTCTCATTTTATTTTCTCAGTGGTTTTAGCTGATTCAGAATTTTAAGTGTGTTCTATGATAAAGGTGTTTATGCTTATTGTAAAGAAGTTTGGAAACAAGTAAAACCAAAAACGTTACTCATATAATTTTGTCACCTAGAGACAACTATTTGGGATATCTGTTTTCAGTTTCTTTCTAATCCATTTTTTGCCCAGTTGAGGTTTTACTATCTTTTTCTCATGCTTTGAAAAACTTTGTGTAAGGGTTTTTGGGGCACGAAGCGGAATTAAAGGTCCAATTGGTAAAGTTTTAGAAGCAGGCTTTATTGAGAAGCTTGCGGACGGGTTCA